AGGTGTCTGGTAACAAACAGTCACACAAGTTATCACACATCCAAATTAATAAATAATAATAAAATGGAAATGAGGAGTTACAAGTAGTAACAATAAAATGCACAATAGAAAAGAAATCCACATCGGACCAGTTGATCTTAGATTTAGACTCAGACTTGACTTTCTTTTTCCTTTTGGATGTGACTCCCTCAGGTAAATTCAGGTTCCAGCAGCCTAACGGGACAGAAAGCAGCAACCACAGGGCAAAAAAAGAGGAAAAAAGCTTAATTACAAAGTGCTAGAACTACCTTAAACCTATTAATCTGTCACGTTAAAAGAAAAATAGCAAAGAGGATTTATTGATGGATACAAACTTTATTAATCCCTCGGTGTCTGGTAACAACCAGTCTCACAAGTTATCACATGCACATGAATAAATAATATTTATGATCAAATGGAAATGAGGAGTTACAAGTAACAACAATAAAATACATTAAAAAAAACTCCACATCGGACCGGTTCAGCTGAGATTTAGACTCAGACTGGACTGCCTTTCTCCTTTTGGATGTGGAAATTCAGGTTCCGGCGACTTAATGGGACAGAAGCAGCAACCAGAGGGCAAAAAGAGGAAAAAAGCTTAATTACAAAATGCTAAAACTAACCTAAACTTATCAAAATGTAATATTAAAACAAAAATAGCAAAGAGCATTTATTGATGGATACAAACTTTATTTACATTTTTTCCTTGTAGGAGAAATTCAGGTGTCTGGTAACAGTCACACAAGTTATCACACATCCAAATTAATAAATAATAATAAAATGGAAATGAGGAGTTACAAGTAACAACAATAAAATACAATTAAAAAAAACTCCACATCGGACCGGTTGAGCTGAGATTTAGACTCAGACTGGACTTTCTTTCTCCTTTTGGATGTGGAAATTCCGGTTCCAGCAGCTTAATGGGACAGAAAGCAGCAACCAGAGGGCAAAAAAAGGAGGAAAAAAGCTTAATTACAAAATGCTAAATCTAACTTAATCTCATCACAAAACTCCTGTACTTATCAATAAACTTATCAAAATGTAACAATAAAAGAAAAATGGCAAAGAGCATTTATTGATGGATACAAACTTTATTTAAATTTTTTCCTTGTAGGAGAAATTCAGTTGTCTGGTAACAAAGAGTCACACAAGTTATCACACATCCAAATTAGTAAATAATAATAAAATGGAAATGAGGAGTTACAAGTAGTAACAATAAAATGCACAATAGAAAAGAAATCCACATCGGACCGGTTGAGCCTAGATTTAGACTCAGAGTTTACTTTCTTTCTCCTTTTGGATGTGGAAATTCAGGTTCCAGCGGCTTAATGGGACAGAAAGCAGCGGCCAGAGGGCAAAAAAAGAGGAAAAAAGCTTAATTACAAAATGCTAAACCTTACTTAAACTTATCAAAATGTAATATTAAAACAAAAATAGCAAAGAGCATTTATTGATGGATACAAACTTTATTTAAATTTTTTCCTTGTAGGAGAAATTAAGGTGTCTGGTAACAAACAGTCACACAAGTTATCACACATCCAAATTAATAAATAATAATAAAATGGAAATGAGGAGTTACAAATAATAACAATAAAATACAACTGAAAAAAATCGGACCAGTTGAGCTTTATCTTGTTGATCTTAGATTTAGACTCAGACTTGACTTTCTTTCTCCTTTTGGATGTGGAAATTCAGGTTCCACCAGCTTAGCAGGAGAAAAAGCAGCAACCAGAGGGCAAAAAGAGGAAAAAAGCTTAATTATAAAATGCTTAACCTAACTTAAACTTATCTCAAAACTCCAGTACTTATCAATAAACTCATCAAAATGTAACAGTAAAAGAAAAATGGCAAAGAGGATTCATTGATGGATACAAACTTTATTAATCCCTCGGTTCATTTACTGACCTGCCACTGTTCAAAGCTCAACTTAAAACGTATTTGTTCAGAATGGCTTTTTGCACGTAAATACTGGGTGCTGTCACCAACGTGTTTGTCTTTGTATATTTCGATAGTTTGATCTGTTTTTATTCTGTAAAGCACTTTGGTCAGCTTCGGTTGTTGTAAAGTGCTATATAAATAAACATTGATTGATTGATTGATTGATTGATTGATTGATTGATTGGAGCCTGTCCTCTGCTTTCAGAACGTGATGTTTTACGACATGGGCTCGGGCAGCACCACGGCAACCATCGTCACCTACCAGACGGTGAAAACCAAGGAGGCCGGCACCCAGCCCCAGCTCCAGATCAGAGGAGTCGGGTGAGTGGGCGGGGAGGGGGGGGTTCGGCCATTTTGATTAGGTCACCAATAGGAAGATCCCAGGATGTTTATCCGTCAAAAAGGATAAACATCCAAATCAATGAAATCCAGAAAATTGTAAACGTAGATCATTTTTCTGTCCCTTTTCTATATATCAAAGAACCAACAACACACAAACCAAAATATAATGGAAGTAAACAAGAAGAAGAAAAACCAAACCAAAGACAAAGTGCCTACATTTTACCACATAGCAAATCAAATCGGTACAGGAGTATCACATTTATTATATTTATCCAGTTATATCTTCTCTATGATTCAAAAATACCCATAAACCTGATTGAACCAAGTCCGTCTGGCTACAGGAAGCCAAGGATGGATATCCGACTCCGCCCACATCCAGGTCGGCCATTTTGATTAGGTCACCAATAGGAAGATCCCAGGCAAGAAATTTGTAAATGCTTCATGGCAATATAGACATTAATTTGAAAATAGTGAAATGAATCTTGCAAACACTGAATTCAACTCTATACTTAATATTATGTTAAAATAATGTTTGTTAACTAGGTTTGTACAATAAGTCCAAACAAGTTTAGCCAAAAAATATTCATTTCTCACTATTATGAAGGGTGGAGGGTCAGGGTTAGGGTCAGGGTTAGGTTTAGGGTCAGGGTCAGGGCTAGGTTTAGGGTTATGTTTAGGATCAGGGTTAGGGTCAGGGCTAGGTTTAGGGTCAGGTTTAGTGTCAGGTTAAGGGTTAGGTTTAGGATCAGGGTTAGGGTCAGGGCTAGGTTTAGAGTTGGGTTTAGGGTCAGGGTAAATTTAGGGTTAGGACATAGTTTATCTTCCGATTTCGTATAGACAGTAAAGTTTAGTTTCCACCTCAGAAAGCTGCTAGTCACATGACCTAATCAAAATGGCCGACATGGATGTGGGAGGAGTTGGATATCCTAACGTCCCGTCACCTTCAGGGATACGATCCTAAGATCCAACGGTGACACGGCCCTGGGGTCGGAGGTTAACTCATTGACTGGCAGCCATTTTCAGAACAGAGTCCCATACTGCCAGAGTTTTTTGAGCATTTTGACTGATTTTTCAAGAGCCACAGAATAGTTTGTGCTATGACTATGTAAACACCGAACACACCAAAAGAAAGAGTAGACTCTCTTCTTTCATCAGGAAAAAAAA